TCTGTTTTAATATTATTGTTTTATCTTTATCATTAATAAACATCATTCTTCAATCCTCCGACTTAATTTACTCAAAGGAAGGTTATGGGAATAATAATGAAAAGCACATGAGTATGATAATGATTATTTAATCACATGTACAGTAGTTACATTTGAGTAATTGGAGCTTCAATAAAAAAGAACATGAAAAATAATCATCATGTGAATATACATTAAAAAAAAAAACATCATATGTAAATTTACAATAAAAAAATCAATCATTGTATATAAATATCATCGTGAACCACAGAGGCAAATAGATTCAAAACGGGAAATTAAACATTGCCGTTACATTTCTTGAACTTATCATTCCTATCTTTTAATACGTTGTCCTCAGTCAACTAGAGGTTTCAAAGATAACTGCTGAAGTAGCGTAGCTTCTATATATACAATTTACTGAAGAGTTGTAGGCTTAGCAGGAATCTTTGGAACCACAGGCTTGTCATGATCAAATAAAAAGTTGACTTCACAGACATGAAGCTATGACATTATATATATATAATATATATATATATATATATAATATATATATATATATATATATATATATATACCCCTCTCTAAGGACAGTACTCACTTCTAAAATCTTGAGGGATGTCCAATAACAATAAGTTCAAGAAAAGACGGTGGACAGAGTCAATATTTAGACTAATATCAAGGTCCTCCTCGAGGCGGAGCAGCGGCAAGGGGACGAGCCCGAGGAGCCGCGAGCAGGGAGCCAAGCGCAGAACCCCCACAGGTCTCCCCTCAGAGGTTCAAGGTGGAGCTGGGTTGGAAGGAGGAGGCTGGAGGGGGGGGGAGGTCATCCAGTGGTCCGGGTTGCGAGAGGAGGTGGACCACTTGTTAGGAGTTGGGTTGACAGGTGGCGTTGCATGGGGAGAGAAGGGCTGGCTGCAAGGAGAGGATGAGGGGGGGGGGGGGTATGTGGGGGTAGGGCAGAGGGAGTTCAGTGGGGGCTGCGATAAAGACTTTTCTCTAAGACTTGAAGACTCTCCTGGTTACTGCGACAGTGTATAACCCAAAGGCTCCGTGTGGTCTGGGATGTACAGTGTCTTCAGCGCGCCGATTAACGCATACACATACGCATACACACACATAAACATAAACATGTACACATACGCTTGTCTTCGCATTCACTTCGATCAATTAAATGGTATTCGTCAGTTAAATATGTACACATCATCGGCCAACCAATATGGCTGGCGGAATGGGAAGGTTGTTCCCATCAAAATTCAGTTAAAAAAAGAGTTAGTAATAACATGGACTAGTAACGGACGGACACTTGGTGTGACCTTGTGAGAAGTGAGGAGGAGGAAGAGAAAGAGGAAGGGATAAAACTAGGGGAAAGAAAGACCGAGGTTGGGATACATAAAAAGGACCTGAGGAAAATTTTAATACTAGAGCAAAAAACAAAAAAAAAAAGGCATCTCAACCGTACCACACATGTACCACGCCTGCGTCTACATTCACGGCAAGGCTCCGAAAATTTACATTTTAAAATATCTAATAAGAGGGAAAAAAAAAAGATATGAAAGTAACTGTACAAAATTGTGACGAGATCAGTGACTTGAGCGAAAACTTAGTGTCATTCTGTCCATAAGACTCATTTTCCTATTTACAACACGCAGAAAACAAGATCCGTTGAGTACTACCTTCTGGCTCAGAATAGCTGATAGGGTCACTGACATACAAACGCATTATTAAAAATCCTAAACGTGTGCCTGGAGGACGGCGGGGGGGGAGGGGGAGGTGGGAGGGAGGGGGGGGGGGGGGGGAAGAAGGAACTCAGTATCATGATGCAACAATTTATAATCCATTAATAAAGGAAGGGGTGTATTCCTTCACCTATAGCACACATATGCAAGTTCTTTCTGGTTCAAGTCAGTTTAATTTTCGGCGGGAAAATTAGACAGACGAGAAGTTAATAGCGAGAATAATAATATATGTATATTTATATGTTTGCTCTTCTCTTAATTTTTGTTTTACTTCCGCTTCTTTTTTCGAGTGATCAGAACATTTCAAAAAGAAGGCCGAATAAAAACCCCGGAGCGAGAGTAAGGTCACAGAGGTTCCGACTCCAAAACAAAAGGCTTCGGGAATCCTGTCTCGAAGCACCGCTCGAGACGAAATGGATCGGCGAACATCCTCTTGAAAAATGACTCTTCTTGTGTATTCTTCTCTTTTTTTTCCATGATTAATCCTTCTTGCATGACCTTACTTGACCTCTAGTCCCACTCCCCCACGTACCATGGCACGGGATGGGGCGGGGGTGGGGGGAGGTAGCCCCGGTTGGGAAGTGGCAGCCGTCCGTAGATGTGGGAATAGGCAGACTCGGTGAAATCAGAGTCTGCAAGAGAAGAAAAAACGAAAACAAATACGTGTTAGAATTTCGTGAAGACATTCGGGGAAAATAAGTGGCTGAGTTGGTGTCTTATTTTTTTTCTTGATTATGTGCCATCTGATCTAAATCATAGTCTCTATTTCTAAATCTAACTAAGAGATTGCGCAAAATGGCTGCTCTTTACAAGGCATTTGGTAATCAATATCGTACAGCCTTTTACTTCTTTATCACTTAGCTAACAACTCTAAACTTACTTTCTTTCCAACATCTTTATCTACAACGTATCTACAAGAACTGTGAAGGTGACAACAACAATACACTCCTACAAATAATACAACAACAAAGAAAATACATCGATCATGTACAGGATGGTGGTGAAGGAGATACAGAATCCACCCACCACGCCCGCATGCGCCCGCCCTTCCCACGCCCGCAAGACATGCACTTTCAAGACGTAGTAGATAGGTCACCATGCATCTACTTCAGTGTACTCTACGTGACTCTACTTTCTCAGAATCTACAGATAGATCTACATAAGCACAAACAGGAAACAGCGACAGGAGAAACGAAAGAATCGTAGTGTTTATTGCTGCATGCATAACAAAAGAGTAATTATGAAGAAGGGAAATAAGAAAAAAAATCTATCTCATACAGGTATATGCATACATGCATATGTACATATAAATATATGTGTATATATATATACATGATATTATATACATATATTATACATATATATATACATACATATATATATACATATATACATATATATATATATATATCTATATATATATACATACACATATATACATGACATATATACATATACCACTTAACATTTACAAGGAATTTCTGTTCACACGTGTTTTTCTGTCTACTTTAAACAAAGAACGTTCCAAGGCTAGCAGGAGTCGAGCTACCATGCACGGGTACCTCCATGCCTTCTGCAGTAAGAATATCATCCCTTCCATCCTTTGCCAAATTAGGAGGTCTTCAATAAGCCTATATATATGTACATACATTTCCTAAAGGCCAGCATCTCTATTTGCAAGACTCTCTGAAGGAGGCAATGGTGATAGGCAGTAACAAAGCGAATCCACAGTTACTTCTTGCCCTATTTGTCCTATTTCTCTATAGTGCATTGGGGGAAAGCAGAAGGGGATACTATCATAATACATAATACTATATATATATTATAATATATATATATATATATATATATATATATATATATATGTGTGTGTGTGATATATATATATATATATATATTATATATATTATATATATATATATTATATTATTATATTTCATTATTTCTCTTGAATCACAGGGGGCTTGGGGTGTTGATGGGGTGGAGGGCCTAAGAGGAAGTACATTGATGGATTCGCCAATGAGCCCACAGCACATCATTTAACTATACAAAAGAAACTTTTTATCCCTGTGCCCCTGGGTCAGCTCTGATAGCGAGGTAGGGTGGACAGTTATCTTGAACTCTTCGGCAATCTTTGATTTGGGATTTCCAGCACAGACTCTTTACCTCATTCTTGTTTACTTCTGCCATGACAGATTTAGTACCTCAGACTGACCAGAACATAGCTCTTAAAAATACAATTTTCCAATTTGTGTAGAGGGAGGGGGTGGGGTGTTGGCACATAAGTAAACAGAATATCCACACAGTCTCATCACCGTGCCTATATATACGTATACAAGTGTATATATATAGGATGGAAGGACCTTACCTAGAACAGAGCAAAAGTTGGTGCTTTTCTTACACGCTTCCACTGATATTTTTGATTTAGTCACACCTCATGAGTCCCAGTACGATTCCCATTCCGTTTCTAGGAAAGAGCGGAAGGTTTCGTTAAAACAAGGAATAACGAACTTTCTCTTTTTTCAAATTCCGTTCAGCTTGTCCTCAGTGTCGCGTCGTAACGGTCGTCGAACAAGTGGGTCCGTTGATAAGGTGGATCTCTACGTAACAAGTCGGTCAGTTGTTCGTTTTTTTTTCTGATATCGTGTTCATCCTTCATTCATCTTCTGCTCTCTCTTGGAGTTCTTCGATTATCTTGTCTATTGTCGTCTTTTGGCTTTGATCGAGAATTTTGGTCCGTGAGTCCATGGGAAGGGGGGGTAGGGGTAGCTCAAAGTACTAAGATATGGGCTCGCCTTCTTGTGTTCTATGGTTTTTATAATAGAGTGGAAATGGCATATATCTACGCATATATACAATGTGGTATCTATGGTATATATTATATATATATATATATATATATCATATATATATATATACTATTATCCCAATATATATATATAATATATAAATATAATATCATAATAATATATATTATATAATATATTATATATATATATATATATATATATATATATATATATATTAATATAATTATATACTATAATATATACTTACATTACACAGCATATAAATTATACATATACACATATATACACATACATATACATGCATATACTTGTCTCATAGGGTGTGATACAAATACAAGTTCATACCATACTGTATGCTATTTAAGCATTTATTCACACATCTATGCTTGTTCTAGCTCTTCACATTTGCTATATTTCTAACACTTGATTTTGTTCTAACATTCCTTATACACTGACCTTATATATTCAATAAGATCAGTGAGGAAACAGTCTTTTATTGCTCAGTCACACCTAAGACTCATGTTCAGAGACACTTGGGGTACCTCAGACGAAGAGACGAACCGGCAACTCTCGCCCATCAGCCAATCACCGCTTGTCTCCGGCGAAGGCTCGACGTGATTGGCTGGCGGGCGCGAGATGCCGGTCCAGACGAGCGACTACTAGAAGCGCGACTGCCAGGTCAATGGAAGTGAATAAGAGCGCACACACTAGTGGCTATTCACTTCCATTGACCTGGCAGTCAATAAAGTCGCTCGTCTGAAGAGGGTCTAAGGTGTCCCAAGAGGCTCTGAATATGAGTGATGACCATGCGACAGGAGCACAGAAATACACATACATGAACATACTCACACACATACATACATAAAAAAGGTCATCGGCTAGTGAAGTGTTACAATTCTAAGGGTTTAGAAGTATATGACTAATAGTTATGGAAATTTTGATTAATAGTGATTAAAATTTTAAAAGTGAAGCAACTGAAGACTGATATTTGAAGTCTATGAGTTTGTGTGTGTGTGTGTGTGTGTGTGTGTGTGTGTGTGTGTGTGTGTGTGTGTGTGTGTGTGTGTGTGTGTGTGTGTGTGTGTTGTGTGTGATTTCATGTTTTCAATGGTACTGCATATACGCCTACGTATTTATGAATGAGACATGTATGAATTCAATACCAAGAGATTGTATGTGTATCTGCATAAGTAGGTGTGAATACTTTAAAAGGATCGAAATATGACCGTCTGTATATGCGTATGTATGCGTGCATGTACGTATATATATACCTATACACGTGTCTTCCATCTGAGTGTATTCAAGATACAAGTTGAAAAGTTAACTTTAAAAAAATAGGGACTTTCACCTATCATAACTATTGAAGTAAAAAGTTTGTCTAACAAAGGATGGGACAGAGGCAAAGGAGAAAAATGCAAAAAATAAATAAATTAATAAATTAATAAATAAAAGAAATAAAAAAATATAATTCGGTCACTGAAAGTCCAGAGCGTCATCGCATGCAAACACAAAAGTCATTTGAAAGATTAAACATTAAAATTCTACAAGAAAGGAAGGACTGGCATCTCTAAAACTGCTAAGTGCCAATGCGTGCTTAAAAGAAAGTCTTAATTCATGCTAGCATTGATTTTGTTTGAGGAAAAGCTTCTTTTTTTCATTATGTATCAATAAGTCATGCACAGGTTGAATGAACTGGTTAATTCCTGGCATTTTTTTTTTTTTTTTTTTTTTTTTTTTTGTAATTTAAGAAACATGTCATGAATACTTTAATATTCTACATTTCCAGCATTCCTCAGAATTAAATATAATCAACGTTGCTAAAAAATTATCACGTAAAAATGCGTTAACAATGAAAACAAATTAGAAATGACAAGGAAAAAAAATATAGATTAACCTTAGACGTGACTTCATGAGCCTCATTCTTAACGGTTTTTACGTGATAATCTCCCTCCAAAACGTCTTTTAATCATGATATCACATCGTATAAAAAATACACACAAATATCTTTCATGATTACACATTGAACAAAATAAACAACACATTAGTAGTGGCAGAGAAAGACATGGTAAAATATAAATAAAGTATTTAAGCCTAAATTTCTCTACAACTCACCATTTCTTCCAGGCAAAGTTGGTACCCACGAGCAGGGGTTCCGTTCTAGTCTGTGAATATTTTGCACTGGGTTGTGTTGCAAAAGAGCTAGAAGAGACAAAAAGAGAAAAAATACACATGCTTAGAAAAGGGTGTGGAGCGTGAGGAATTAACTGGGTGCTTGGTGCATAAGCGCCGTGCTTTCTTTTACGTTTCCCGTTTTCTCTTTAAATGACCCGTTTTCTTTCTTCTTTTTAGATTTTTTAAGCCCCGACACATTTGTTTTTAATGAGCGTCTACGTGTACCATCCCATTACCCATTAAAAAACTATGTATACAAAGAGAGAATACCCTCTTGCGGATCTTGTGAGGAATTGGGAATTTAATCATGATTCGGACACCGTAAGTGTAGAAGTTTTAAACTGAATTTACATTTAATTCTCAAACCAAAAAGTTACAAATAAACTCACGATGTCCGCCTTCTGTTATGTGCAAAGGTTGTGTGCGCATTTATCGTACATATAATATCAGCACATTAACTGCCAAAACGCGTGTGACTAAAATATGTTATAAAAATTCTAGGTAAAATATTCATATTTACCAGTACTGAGCACTTGACGCAAATATTAAAGTATATGCGTTTTTATTACGTGTTTCCTGCTTTCTGCATTAATCCGAATGACACACAATCTTTACACACTGAGAACCTTACAGTATAATAAACTCTGTAGAATGAATCAAAGAACGACATAATATTATCTAACTACAATCCATTTCGTGATATCTTTCTCCCTTTGACAAATAAAAAGAAATGGATCTTATATCGTCCTTGTGACACACTCGCTCTCGAAAATGACTTACACGGGACGAACAGCGAAAGGTCGTTTAAAGACACATTCACAGACACTACGAAAGTTGGATGTTTGGCTCTTCTGACTTTTTGATGATGTTTTTATGCCAGAACACTAAAAATAAAAGCTTGATTTTAGTCTTTTATTATTACTTTCTTCAGTATTGATATATATTTTATCTTTGTTTATTTATTTATCACTGGATTTTTGAAAGGGAGACTCGTAAGTCATTCTCAGAGAGCAGCATTGTCTACCGTGATGTACAGTACTAAGCCATTAAGCATAACGTGATCAACAGAGATGTGCATTCTACACTAAACACAGCAAGGGTACATCGAGGCACAAGCACACAGCAGCCATAATGCACTTTTTGCAGTGAAAGATTGAAATTAACTCTTCAGTTTTCCTGAGACACAAAAGACAAATGAAAATTGACCCCCAAAAAAATGGACACGCAAAATGGCTGGTATGCATTTCTTAAGAGATACAAACGATTTTAAGGAAAACAGGTTTGTTTGGTAGTATTTGGGAGGCTCAGTGTATGTGCAGGTGACAGCTGTCATGCAGTCATGGAGTCATGCAGTCCAGGGCGCAAGGCAACCACAAGGACCCGCAAAGTCCGCTCACCAAAGTCCTTTTTTGACAAGCCTAGAAAAATTCTTCAGTTTCCCCTCTTTGTCAAGTTAAAAGGCGAGAGTTGGTCAGAAAATGGAAGTCGAGGGAGAGATTTTTTTTGCTTAATTTCAGTTACTTAACTGTCATTACTTTTGGAAATTCGCTCGTCTGTTGCAGTTGTCATGATCACCAGAAAGAAAAGGCGGAGCGGGAGGAGGCGGAGGGGAAGAAAAGAAGATAAATACAAGACATGGAAGAAGACAAGTTCGTCCTCCTTTCTTCTCTATCCTCCTTTTTTATCATGTGTTTATGACTTTCCTCCTCTCCACCCCAGCCTCTAGAACAAAAAGGGAGATCCTTCCGAAGAAAAGAAAACTTCCTTAGTACCATAGACTACCTGGAAGAAGAAAAATAATAATAATAATAATCTGCAGTCGCCTTGACGAAGCAAAATTAGTGTGTCTGTCTCTCCCTTTCTTCCCCCCCCAAAGCGTCTTAAATATAAAGGTTAGTAGAAGTCTCAATCTCCTTCCAGGTAGGCAGTCTCGTCTTATCTCTCACTATCTCTCATCTCCCTTATCTCTTAAACCGCCCATCCTGTGATCGGGGAAATGGTCTTGGCCTTACCGTGTCTGTCCGTCAAGAGGTGCCGGTGGGCGTCTTAAGGTCTCGCTGTGCACCTTCCAGGGAGTAGGATGCAGGAGGGGAAGTGGAGGAGGTCTGACTGTCGTGGGATGTGGGGGGTGGGGCCGGAGGGGGAAGGGGAGTCAGGGTGGTGAGAGGGGAAGAGGGGGAGTGGGGAGGGGGGTGGAGCCGGAGGGTGAAGGGGAATAGGGTGTGAGAGGGAAGT